ATTATACTGCAGTTTGGCAAAGAGTTTAATTATAAGCTAACCTTTAAAACAAAACACTGGGGGTATTACATGCTTAAGGAAGTCAACAAGGCTGGCCACAAATGTAAAAAATACAAGACGTGATCCTGTTTCAGTTTTTGTGATACTTAAAAACAGCTGTTAAGAGACAACAGGTATAAATAGCAGAAGAATAATAGAAGTATTTCTAACTCAGTGAATGTGTTTATAAATAGGGTAGGGAAAATAACCATGAGTGCCCAGACAGACCACTAAAAGGGCGCTGGTTGCAGGGCGCTACACAGACAAATCTTCCAGCCTCAGAACAATTCCATGTAAGAAAACCATGATCTTTACAGAATTTAATTTAAATGATCAAAAAAATATAAAGACTGGACACAAGTAATGAATTATGTTGATTCATTAACATAGACCATTTTGGTCAAAACCATTAAAAATACTAAACCATGCTCATATATATAACAACAACTCTTTGCTACAGCAGCCCTTAAAAGCTAAAAGCACATCAAGTTCCATTATTAAACTGATTTTTTTTTTCCTTCAATATATATCAGTAGGAAGGAAGCTGATGTTAGCTCTGTTAGCTACAAAGTAGTTGTACGGCGGGTTCAGTCTCAACACACCTATTTTTGCAAAAGTTGTAATTTCACGGAGATAGGAACTGAGTAAGTAGAACTCTACACAAAACCTCACTCGTAACACGACACCAGTGTAACACAAACACATCTATTACCACATTTTCTGAATATATCTCATAGTCTGCTCATGCCACAAACCCGAGATTCTACATGCAAAGCAGACAGCATCTGTGCAGTCACTGCATCCGAGTATCACAGTGTGGCACCAGAAGTAACCTAACCACAAACATCTCAAGGGTGATTTGGAAACAATTGATGTGACAAGACTGGCAGTCACTGGATGAATCCCAACAGTCGCCACTATGGATTACTGTTCAAGACAAAGCCACAGCATCTGTAAAGAAAATATATGCAAATCAATATATTTCTGTTCTACTCACAGTAATGACTATGACATCGACTGTTATAAATAGCAACCAAGACATCACACTACAGGTAAAGTAGGTGAAGGTGACTCTTGCGGATACTGTAATTAATACTCATGGGACTAAGACTGTAACTTACAAATACAAGTTTGATCCAGTCTCAAAGGATTACCTTACTAATACACCAGGCAGGACCATGGTAGAGACTCAAGTACGAGCACACGACCATCCATAGTGCTGAACGGTGACCATGCATCCCTGGCACAGGGAGAAGAGTTGTCTGCATGGGCTCAAGCCACGCTGCGTCACTTGTTCCCAGCAGCAGGAAACAGATCCTCATCTGTTTTTCCTACTGGAACATGTACAGCTTTTAACTTCTGGGGACTTGGCGTGTGGAAGTGCATAAGCATCAGTTATCTGCTGCGTGACCGCGACTGTGCTATACTGCATCTCCTGCCCATGGCACCTCCAACATGACCTGTCCTTCCCCATATTGCAGAAAATTGACTTAGAAGTCGCAGTTTATGAATGAGCAGCAGCTTTTATCAATTAGTCTTCATAAAACTCAAGCTTTCTTGCACATGATTTTTCTATCATCAGCCTTTCCATGGATCATTTCACTCCATCTTTCTGTGAGCTCCGCTCTCCGTAAGGAGTACCATCATCTCTGTTCCACCATGATGCCCCAAAGGGAGTCCGTGCCATCCCAAGGCTGCTACATCCAGAGGAATAGTCTGCCATCTAAAATCACTCCTGGGACATTTGCAGCCTCTCCTGCACCAGAGACTAAAGGTCCTGATGTACTTAATGACCTGAACAGTCTGATGTCATGATACATACCAGATGATCATACCAAACGCGAAAGCATTAAGCTGTGTTGCACCTTCGCACTATTGCCACTTGTTCAGAATACTACTCCTTGAACTTGTTCTTTTCTTTTACTGGAGAAGGATGAAAACTCTTTATAGAACTGTGGCCACATTTAGCAATCCTTCTATAGTTTACGCAGCAAAGACGAGAGGGAGGTGTCTAGTGAGTCATTGTTTTCCTTCTCCCCCATTTTAGCAAGCCTCAGAGCAGGATATTTTAAAGCCACCTCTACTACATGAGTAAGGAAACACCATCTTGGGAACACTGATGTTCAAATTCACCTTCTCAAATCTCTAAGACAACAGAGTCCCCTTTCATGCTTACGTGGCACTTTTGCTCTTTCTGCAGGGAAAAGAAAGAGGAGCACCTGCCTCCGTACTGGTTGGCTCTGCAGGTCAGGGCCACTCATTTTGTCTTGAGGTGACAGCTTAAGGACAGCAGCTGTTTGTGATGGTGAGCAGGACCTTGTACTTGGCAAGTATTTTCTTTCTCCTTTGCCTGCTCTTCCTCCTCTCCCCTCCCTTAGCCACTCCCCTCAGAGGCTGCATGTATTTCTGGAATACATCAAGTTCGTTTCTCATTATTTCACTGTTGATTCCTTTGATTCTCCCTTCTTATGGTAGAGTCCACAGAATTTTTGTGTTGATTTTTGTCTAAAGCAAGTGAGAGCTTTCTTTGATCATCCTTGTTTTGCTAATTTGGGATGCTTTGGGGGAATTAATATTTGGTTTTAGTATGAAAATGAGACTCTCCCTGCCCTTCTCTCTGCAGGTTGCTTGATCTGAATAGAGCAGATGGCAAACTATGCCTTTACATGTTACTTGCTTGGGAAACAGAAGATGTTGAATCCATAGGGAGAGATTTTAAGAGGAATAAATGGAAAGACTGGAAAATTGAGTTACAAGACTGTGGATATATAGGAATGCAAAATTCAAAAAAAGGTTATCCAAGGCCTACCTTTAAAGATAAGCATAAATTCCACAGACCTCTGTGAAACTATTAATAAGTTTACAATTGTGCTCACGGAAAACCAGCTTCCCAAACTAAGGCATAAGATGCTTCTCTTACAAGATACAATCTGAGGACTGCAGAGGGAATCTAAGGCCCAATCCATCTGACTCCTGCTGATTAAAATTAATGCAATTAAAATGGAAATACTCCTTCTGCATGAGATTCGTTTGCATACAGCTTGTTAGTGATGCTATCATCCTTTGCATTTCACCCTACAGAGATGTTACATCACTGGTGAAAAGATATGTAACGTCCCTAAGATCTGACACTGCTAGGGAAAAAACACAACCAAAATCTTTGGGATAAGTGCACGCTGACTGACCTCAAGTCATCGCTCAACATTAGTAAATTCCGATCCTCTTCTTGCCAAAAACTTCAGGCCAGTTTTGACTGCAAATCCTCAATGATTACTGTCATTATTTAGCATAACTCTGCTAACAAGCATCATCAGTCCTCATTGCCAAAGCTGGTTCAAGGCTTCTCAGGCTTGCAGCAAGCGTCCCCTTCTCTCCTTGTGTACAGGTAGAGCAGGGAGCCTGCCAATCATATAGCTACAGTAGTATATAGACAGTGGCAATTAAGCATTGTCTGTGCTCTTAACACCAAACAACTCTAAGCCAGAAAACCCCATAGTGACATAAGCCCAGCTCTAACTCAGTTATATACGTAGCTTACCATCAGCCTGCTGGAGCTTCTACACATTAGGACATGAGCAATAGCTAGAGGACTGGGCCAAAAGCAATGTTATCAAGTTTAAGAAGCAGACTTGCAAGTCTCTGCACTAGGGGTGGTACGATCTCGTGCATCACTATGGCCTCTGAACAGACTGGTAAAGCTGCAGCGCTGCTGAAAAGGAACTGGGCTTAAGATGAACACCAGATTGAATATGAACCAACACATATTCTCATCGCAAATACAACAAACCACCTTACAGGCCACATTAGAAGGTGTGTGGTCAGCAGACAGATGGAAGCTACTGTCCCACTCTACTTGGTACAGGCAGGGACACACCTGGAATACTGTGCCTAGTTTTGGGTCCTTAGGTTCAAGAGCATGGAGAAAATGGTGAGGGGACAGCAGAGGGCTACAAAGATGGTTGGGATGGAGAAAACATGACCTGTGAGAAGAGGCTGAAGGAGCTGGCCTGTTTAGTCTGGTGAACAAGTGGTTAAGGCAAGACAAATACTATAAGCTCTACTCTTTCCAGTTCTATCAGAAGATTTTAAAAGGAGCAATGGCCCCGAATTTAAGCTTTGGCCATGCAGACTGGATGCCAGAGAAGTCTTTTTAGCTGGAGCAATACTGCAGCACTGCAAAAGGTCACCTGCAGCATCTGTGAAATTTCTGTCCTTGAAGGTTTTCAAGACTGTGCTTTACAAACCACAGCTGACCAAGTCGAGTGCTGGTCCTGCTTAGAGCAGGAGGCTGGATGCAAACAGCAAACCTATGCTGTGATTGGTCTCCACCTGAGTTAGATTGATCCATTTACACATTTTGTCCACACTGAACGCCTGAAATCGAATTTAATTTTATTCTGTTAAAGCTTTTTTTTGTTAAAGAAATGTGCTGCGTAACACATAGGGTAACTTGGCACAATTCAGTGATGAGTTCTAGAAATAAGAAGTTTTAATAATTATTTATAGTACAGGATGTATGACATCTCTTGAAATACATATATTGCTGTTAAAATAGTTAATTAGAAAAAAAAATTTCTGCCAAGACCTATAGTTAGCAGCACTGCAGCATACAGTGAATTAATAGAGTGGGAGTATTTTTACTTTTTTTTTTTTTTTAATTTATGAAGGAAGAGTCATTGCTACGAGACTAAACAGGTGATAAAGCAGCTCACAGCTCTTTTGGGATTGATTGCCACTTTGATGCTTGGCATATCGGAGTTTCCAGCAAGCTCAGAGACAACATCCTAATTTCTTTAGGGGATCATACACTTTAGATGGTGAGATAGCTCCTTTTCATCAAAAAGCAAAAGACTAATGAAATAACAATACTAATACTAATAATAAAAACCACACACTGTTGACTTGCCTTGACACAAGGGCATGCTTGCCTTTGGATATGCATTGGAAAAACAGGTACTCACATTCCATAAAATAGGGGCCAGGTTCAATTCGCCATACAATTTGTCCTTTTTGCGTGCCAGTCACTCCCCGATTCTTGGAATCCCAGAAATTGGCTGGAGAGTTCTCATCTTAAAAAAAGAAAGAAAAGACATTTGTAAAGTAGTATTTATAATAGCAGTTTTCTGGGTTTTCTGTTTCAAAAGGCTCGGGTACAAAAAAAAATCACTTGTGTAAAACAAACAAACAAACAAAACCACCCCACCAAACTAACTGGCAAAAGATAAACGGCTTCTCTTTCACAGCTGACAATTACATTAATTTATGTAGAGCGAGCAGACAGACATACAGCCAAAGTAAATATATGGTTTCCTGTAAGAAGTGACCTGCCAAGGTAAAGTATTAAATTCCGAAACTTCCCTAACTCAACAGGGAGACTATTGGGAGCGTATAGCTGATTGCAACTTCATCACGGAGTTACCACACCATGCTACACAGTGGTCCTGCTCTGCCATGTGACAATCTCGCATTCATTCCCCAGCCAGGAGTATGGAATTGCAACTAGAGGTATCGAGACTTACTTCAGTTTTTAATATATCCTATGTTTTAGAAACTAGAGCGAATATTTTTATACCTACAGCAAAAAAATCTGACACTTTCAATTTCCTGATGTGTACCGTATTACTTCCCAACAGCAAAGTCGAGTTAGAGGCTCAAAGCGCAGAGCTGCCACTTGGTAAGCAAGAGATTCAAATGAGAAATTCAGCAAAACACATTTAAAAGAGGAGAATCAAGAAGCAAACAGCAAGTATCTGCAGATCAGCTTAGCAATACCAGTATCTTCCCCTTCCGAACTAAGGTTTTTATCCTAACAGTAATGAACACTGCTCTTAGGGTTTGGTTTTTATTTACCAGCCTGTATTCAGGCACCTAGAACGTGGTATTGATGAGAGAAAAGCAGCGTGAGAAGCCGTTTGCAAGGGCACAAAGGTTAGTCACGATGACCCAGAGGAAGCTGACGTAAATCCAACTTAACTTCTTTGGTACAGGAAGTTCTTTGGAAGTACACATCTTAATATCTTACAAGTGCATTTAGGCAGCTGTTTCTTAATTAGGCAATTATACTTACAACCCCAAATACAACATCCTAATTCTTTCCAGTGGTACCTGATATCCCTTACTCTTATTTTTTTTCTTTTAATAATTCCTGGTTTATTACACGCATTCGAGTGCGTTCTGCAATCTTCAAAAGACTTCACTAAGAACTGAAGTCTTCTGTGGCTTTGTTCATGAAGCTCCTATCCATCCAAGCGCATTTTCTTTGTACTTTGGTAGGAATTTCTGCATAAATAAGATTACAGAATTCTCACCTACATTTTAGAAATCCATACGCTATTTATGAAAGAATAATAAACGACGCAGCTTTATTACTTTTATCTTAAAAATACAAACTTACACTAAAGCTTCTCTTTCTCCTTTCTATTCTGACTGCTTATCCCGGTGTACTCGTGATAACCCTACTGAATCACCATTAGTGCAGTCTGTACATTCACATCCCACCCCACTGACAAGCTAAGCATGACCAGACACATGCTGGACTTCTGTGATGGCTCAAGAGTAAGTTACACACCCTGTCCACAACCTGGAAGAGCTCTGGAGACTCCAGAGACGGCCAAGGCCAGCTACTGATGTTTTTACGCCTCCACACATGGGCGACTTGGAGAATTTTTAGAAAGCTGTAGCCTGAACGCCTCAACATCACGACGAGTCCAGAATAGTTTCGTAATTATCTCAATGACAACAAGAAGGGAGAGGAAGGTTTTCCTGATGCCTGCGCTCCTCGAGCACATAATACCCTCAGGCTGAACTTTTCGTGTGGAATCAATATGATAGTGTATGAACTGCATACACCATAAAGGCAGGCACGAGGCAGTAAAAATTTAAACATGCATACTTATTCTTCATTACAGTGAAAAACTTTCAAAGTAAACAAAGCTGTATCTCACCATGTACTTCTTTTTTCTCAAAGCTATATAAAGAGGAACTCTGGAAGTACAGCCTGTAAATCACCCCATTGGCCTCAGAAAAAAAAAAATCTCTGTATGTGCCTTGCAACTGCACTCGAACTGAAACAATACACTGTTGACTTCTTTTCTTTTTTTTTTAACGTGCCTTCCTAATCCAAAACCCTACTATTACCTTCCACAGACAGAACTCTAGGAAGCCATGAGATACGGCTTAACTTGCAGCAAATCTACACTAGTGCCTACTTTGGTGCACCACACAGACTTGGTTATCTTTTAAACCATTGCTACCAAAAGTGAGCAGATTCTTTAAAGATAGTTTTAAATTATTCAGTGTTCTCATTACGTCTAGGTAAATAAAGATGCATTGTATGACAAAAAAAAACACCTTCCCTAACATGCTCTAGTTCTTCTGAATCTCTAAATTTAATCAATTGGAGAAGAGTCTGTTCATAATACTAAGCAGAAGGACAGATATTTGGTATTATTATAACCATAAACATGAGATTTTTTATTCTTATGTTCAACAAATCAAGGAACTCTGAAGCAATGAAATATGCCTTTAACAGTGAGACTTCCAGCATTAAGGCACAAGCAACTGTTCTTTGTTTTTTAAATCAGTAATTAAGTCAAATCAATGGTAATTTTTAATTGGACATTAGGGAGCTTATGAAAAGGTCCTACACAAACTGAATCTCAAATTCTGAGCTGACAGTTACAAGAAAGCAGAACATTTTCTTACACGTTAATTAATAAAATGCAACATTTAAGAAAGTGCCTGGATTTTCAGCCCTTGCATGAAGGAACAGTCACTTTGCAGCAATGAAGACTAAATCATGGATACTCTGGCCACAGGCACGCTGCCATTGCAACAGAAGGTGGTGGAGACAGAGGGATGAAAAATGCTGACAGACCACTGCCTGTCAGCAATTGAGTCAAATTACAGAATTTATTTTGGACAGCTTTAATTTTCTTCTGGAACAGCTGATTGTTTTCTACTTTTACGATGTTATTCACACAGGGGGAAAAAATAACATTACTAATGCATATGGAAAAATAACTTCAAACCTCAGTTCATAGATTTTAAAAAAAAAAGAAACAGCAGGAAAAAATCAAATAGCATGAAAACATTAAAGTACACAATATTGCTGAAATTTACATTGCAATAAAAAAAAAAGTGTAATATTCAGCTGTGCAAAAGAAGTGTTTGAGTGCACAAAAAGCACTGTCAGAATTACCACTACTTTGTCTCTCTTCTTCCCCAAAATATATGTATGTACACGTGTCTATACACACACACATATACACCCACACTGCTCTAAATATATAATTTTTTTTCCATAGGGAACTTCAATTCTAAGCAGCTCTAGTCCCCTTTTAGCTGATAATTGTTGCTGTTTGTGAAACTGGCAGCTGTTCCAGAATCTGGGCCAAAGAGTAGATATAAATATCCTCTCCCAGAACATAAAATATGCAACAAAATACTGTCTTACTGCATTGGCATCTTGTCCATTGAGCCTACACTTCTGAAAGAAACAAAACAATGCAAGATGCATGGTATCTTTCTAGCTTCAATAATTCTTAGACACAAAATATTACAAAAGTAACTTATTTCTCAGAGCTGCAACCCCTGCGCAATGTGAGATATGTTCTACAACGAAACGTGGGTAGTAATAAATATATCACTGTGTGGAACTTCACACTGACCTTGAAAATCACTGCTCTTTGAAGTCACTGAAAAGCAAATGTATTCTGAGTAATAATTTTTTCGTTATTTAACTGCTAAGCAATCAGCCAAACATGGTATTAGGAACCAAACTCATTTTTTCCCCCCCACTTCCAGGCTTCGCCACCTTTACAACACCCTTTTGGGTAAGTTGGGTACCAATGACACCTGTGACCCCCACAGCTTGCGCTCTCCATGTCAGCACTGTAGTTCTTAACCTGTGTCCACAGCTCTGCCCTGATGCGACAGCGAACGGGATGATGCAGCTCCCAATGGCATGTGCCAATTCGGTATGACTATCCTTATGTGAAAAGCAATATAGAAGCACTGGATAAATGAAAGAAGGTAGCATTGTTTTTACAGAATTCGTTTTCACAATAAAGTTACATCCATAAAAGAGTAAGAGCCATAAGAAGCTTCAGGATGTTTTGGGAGACGGTGCTGAAAGCCCTGCTAAGCCAGTCTCTAACATCAGGGGTGATGTCAGGAGGCTCCTGTGGAGTTCCCGTGTTGTTCTTTGTGTCGTACCACTTTCACTGTTTCTGTCTTAGGAAAAACTACCTGAAATCCATCACCTTACAGAGCCATCTTGTGTAGCTTCAATCAATCAATTAATCAGGAAGATTATAGTCTTTTACAAGGAAGTTAAAAAACAAGAACTGCTACCAATTTACATCTGAATCAAGCCTTATAGTCCCAGTGCACAGACCAGTCATATGCAAACCAACGCTCATCTTCTGGTACCACTTTCTGAGGTCAGTAATGTTAGGTTATGTGATAAAAGGCTTGTCTCCATGAAGACAAAAGATTTTTATTCTTCAAATACAAAAACATTAGAGAAGTCACCAACTCCTGGTGTGGAAACATCACAGACTGCTTACTGCACAGGAAAAAATGTCAAAGTTCCCTATAGCCATCTCAGACCTTCAAACTTTTGCACACTGATCTCTTTTCTACAACACATTCATAAGATGATTATATGCAGAGCCCCAAGAGAAGGTGATGCTTAACAGATGCCAAATGTCACTGAATGGTTTTAATTATACACAACTCTACAATTTTTATCTTTCGGTACCATATATGGGTATTCTAATTCACCGCTCTTGAAAAAGCCGTGCAGCTTAGCTCAGAAAAGATCAATCATGTTGGCAACACCATTGTATCCCTGCATAATTCTGTTATCCTCATTTAGGATTTACATCCCAATCTCCATTTTTTCATCCCTTTCTGGAAGATGTTTTATGCAAAATCTTTTTAAGTGCTTGTATTGTTTACTCTTAATTTAAAATTTTAAATTAAGGTCAGATTGTCAGAATGCTGACTTTCTTAGCATTTTAGGTTAATTTTAACGAATTCTTGGGCACTAAAGATGATGTGTGTG